CCCAAATTAAATACTACTCATATGTGGTGTTAGATTGGGAAGAGCAAGAATAAGTGAGAAAGCATCGGGCATGTGGTCTCCATGTGTAGATGTTGCGCGAGGCTTGGATTCTAGACCTCAATCCCTAAAGCGCCTAAGCGCTTTTCCGTAAAAAGCTAATCCCAAAGTTCAACCTCAACCTTTGAACCCTAAGCCAAAGCCCTAAGCCTCAAACCCTAAACACCCAAACCCTGAGCCTTCGGCAGGTCCTTGATGAGGCAGGTGGAGGAATGGGAAGAGGCGTCCAAAGCTTCTTGGCAGACCACGCGCAGACCTGGTAGATTCCCAAAATGGGGGGACATCAATATAGACCCCAACATACTGCAATCCTGTGTATTGGGACCCACAAAGTTTACCCCTCGTTATCGGAAATCCCAGATCTTTCGGTTGGAGGGTTAAAGGTTCGGGGTCCAGCATTCTATCTACAGTCTGCTATGTTTCGGTCGGTATAACGGGAAAGGGAGAAATGGTTGCATCGACATTGACATTGCTGCCAACACGAAGTGCGCACAGCTGCTAAGCAGCAGCAAAAAGAGCAGGAGAAGGAGGACGCTAAACCTTAAACTCTCAAATCTTAAAGCGCGTGGAGAAGCAGCAGCAAGCTACAACAGTCACCGCTACCACGTCAATGATGACCTTCGGTAGTTCGTGCAGTCATGAAAAATCCAAGCAGTCAGGTCAAGTGCCCCGTGTCTGCACAGTCTCCACACAGAATTCTAAGATCTGACAGTTGCCAGAAATATGAGGACGCCCAAAGAGATCCCAGAATACTATAACCCATGACAGCATGATAGGGATCCCCAGAGGCTGACCCCCAATTTTGGAAAACCCCCACATCTATGAGGAGCAAGAGTGATGCTGGCTTGGCACAATCCTGTCCCAAGGCTGGAAGAGTCAGCATGTTAAAGAGAGGGACGACAAAGCCATGCGACCTCGACACCTATGAGCTTGACTGGGACGATCTGGGGCATCTTGGACAGAAATTCCTGGCTTCCGAGGGTCGAGCATGGGTCCAGACCATGTCAAGATCACATCATGGGCGCAGGATTGCTAGACAAGCTGACACATGTCTTCGATGCAGCATGGGTAGTCCTTGTTCTTAGAGCAGGTCAGCTTGCCTGTTAGCTTCCACAGGATGGAGCTTCCCAGCATGCCGCAGAAAGCGCCTGCAGCGCTGCCAGCTGCGGCGGCTGTGCCATCAGCGCCGCGCATGTCAGCCGTGTCAGCTGAACCAGCCAGGACAGCTGCGCCAGCTGTGGCAGCTGCACCAGCCGTGGCACCAGCGCCAGCAGCGCCTACTGCTTCAGCTGTCTCGGCTGCCGCGGTGGAAGCTGCACCAGCTGTGACACCTGCGCAAGCAGTGACTTCTGCTTCAGCTGTGTCGCCTGCAGTCGCCGTGCCGGCTATGGCCACTGTGCCGCCGGGGGCAACTGCAACGGCCGCACCAGCTACGTCTCCGCAGCCCCAAGTTCCTGCCCAAGCAACACCTCCTGAACACGTGCTGGCCTCAGCTTCAGCAAGGCCGTCATGAGTGTTGGCCAATTGCAGGAGACGTGCCATGAGCCTAGGCGCATGCCAGCGAAGAGTGGACTATTGCTGCAACCTCAGCACGAAGCCGTGTGGATGTTTGTTCATCTCATTTTTGGAACATGGCGTTTAAGCAGTTTGCAAACAAAGGGCTCCTTCTGTGCCCTCAGATGTTGTCTTGAATGTCATGGGCGTGGGGGGTGACCAAGTACTCGTCACTTTTCGCATGCTGGCTCGCAGATTCTGTTTAGCTGCAGTCTGAGACACGTGAGGGCGAATGGATACTTGGAGGGTCGGGCGGACTTCGTAAGTAGGCCAAGCCATCTTACAACCCCCAGAATCGCCATGAATAACCTATTTACTAAATCCATCTGACTTTCGAAGCAGTTGCAAAGCGACGTTGTTGGTCCTATGCACACTTGCAAACTGAATTTGCGAGCTTGTACTTCTCAGCCCGTAGTTTCCTACGTATATGCCGACTTGCTGCCAAATGACCTCTAGAAACCCATACGTTGACCCATCTGGTGCTTTCCCAAAATAATGGGACCCCAATGTAGACCCCAATATATTATAATCCTTATAGTGGGGACCCCCAAAAAGGTAGCCCTAATTTTAGGAAACTCCCATCTATCCCCCCTAAACCGAAAACGTCCCTACGCCCCTTGGCTTGGCAGACTGAGGCGCGGTTAGAGAGAAAAATCATGGAGGAGGCCAAGTGGTTACTTGGAGGGTCATTGGGACTTACTAAGTAGGTTAATAATGGGGATAACTAGGGTTACTATATGGGTTATAGGGATTATTACCCTACTTACTAAGGCCCCCTGACCCTCCAAATATAGTCCCACTTAAGTAGATAGAATATGGCTTTGGGTATATTATAACAAGATCCCCATATACTCCATGTTCTATCTCCTTAAGGGTGACTATAGGGTTTCGTGTTTAGTGGTTGTTTAGAAGTTTCCCTAACTAGGGGGAACCCATTCTAGATCCCCAGATACCATAAGTCATATTGATTATAGGGACCAGACAGGCTTCCCCAAATTTGAAAGACCAGCGTATCTTGATACCCACGGCAGCCCGGGAACCATACACGTCTTGGTATCCTTCTATACCACACCGACCCCCTAAATCCCCCTCCTCGCAAAATGGACCCAAATAAGTTAAACAAGATCCATTTAGGCCATCTTTTGGCAAGGAGGTAGCAAGGGGGTGCAGTACGGGATCCCTTAACAACCACTAGACCCTCACATGCTTAACTCTTGCCAGACGCTTCAGCTTCAAGTTTAGAGTCTAAGGGCTTCTCCAAAGACATGTAGGAAAGACCCAAGTTATGATTGTAGCCAGGTAATACCATACAATCTCTCATGATCATAGAGAATACTAGAGTTTCGTAATGAAGCTACCTACTCTCAAAATTACCAGAAATTTCTTTTAGTCTCAGCAGCAGGGATTTGAAGATTTATTTGGAGGTATGTAAGGAAAGTTTATTCCAGCGCAACCTCCTGGGTTTAGGCTTAGGAAGTTAGCAGGGTCCAGAAACAGCATTTGAGCCATAGTCTAAACTCCTAGTATCCCCCTTGAGATCCCCTATTATAGTATTATAGTCCCCTTTTGAGGAGTTTCGACTACAGCTCATTTGAATCAAACTGCCGCTGCAATTTAGGATTTACGGTTTAGGGCTTTTTGCATGCTGGCAAAGGATCCTCAAGGGCACCCATTTTAAGACAAACCTGCGTGAACCCACCCCCAGCCCACCCATGTCACCTTTTTTGACCAAGGACCCTGTAGGTCTTGAGATGGGCCCTTGTCTGCTAGGACAAAGATTGGTAAACTGCCACTACGTCATATCTAAAGTGTAAGATGCGATCGACGACGTCCATTCCAAACAAGGTAGCCATGCATGAGTTCAAGAGCTAGAAGGCATGAAGCACAGAAAAACGGGCCATAATTGCGAGATGCCCCCATCCTGATGTATTCCCACGGAATGCGGGTGAGGTTTCTTTTGGATCTGCGGATTCTGTATACTCAGGGGTTCTGTCAGTATGCGTACACGGAAGGACCCAGGGTTTCTGGCATTCCCCTGCATTGGTTGAGGCCTGGGAGATCTTCAGGGGACTTCAGAGGGGCGGAAACGATCAGTTGCATTCGCAGGTAAGTTACAGGTAGTACCCATGCTAGTCCTGTAGATTCATGCCGGGACAGCACGACCAGAATTTGAGGCTTCGGGGCCATGAGTACCAACTACCAGCATGTCTCAGACGCTTGATGCCCCCGCACGTGCAAGCGGAATCGTCTCCATAATCCCAGCAGTCAGCACGGGCGTATCCATGGAATCTTGCAAATCGGCTGTCGTTCGTTGAAGGGTCCTTCTTGAGGTCCCCTGATGTGTGTTGTGGCCAGCGAAGCAATTTTCATCCCTAAGTTTGCCAAGAGATTTGCAGAGGGTGGGGTCCCCAAATTAGGGTATTGTTTTGGGATCCCTATAGTAACGATTATCAGGGAGACATATGTATATACATATATTGGGAGCCCCCTATTTATGGAAAACTACCATTTGCAGGAATCCTTTGAAAAGCGCCGGAAAAGCTCGTTTGCTTTGCGGGCATTAGTCTCTTGGCCGCAGGCGCTTTGAAGTTCATTTGGGGATTTCCTAAAAATAGGGTTACCTTTTTTGGGGCGGGTCTCTGTAATACGGAGTATAGTATTTTGGGGTCTGTATTGGGGGTCCACCCATGTTAGGAAACTACCATTTCTCAAGATTGGAAACTTCAACAGTTGTCTTTAGAAGGTGCGTGCTCTACCTTTTTTGGAATGCAGGTGCCGGGGTTTGATATATTCATGCGATCTTCCTTCAATTCGCGGCAGTGTGTTGCTCGTTTGGCTGTGGAAGACCCTACTAAGAGACTTCTAACAGCAGATCTACAGGAGCTCATGCACTTAGAGATATAGTCTCCCTTAAGTAGATAGAAGATGGGGTATATGGGGATCTTATTATAATATACCCAAAGCCATATTCTATCTACTTAAGGGTGACTATAGTCCAGTGAATCAGGCTGTAGGCCTTGGGGTCATGGTCCAATGAATCACAGAAGCGTAGAAGAGCTTTGGTTTTCCCTGTGTGCCTGCCATATGTCCTGGCAGTGACAGCCGAGGAAGAGTGTTACGAAGATGCTGCAGCTTTGTCCACAATGGGATGTTTTTTCTGTTCTTTCGCTTGCAATCCTGAGGAGTGGCGTATCCTTGAACTGCGAACTGTGGAGTGGGCTTATGGATACAGCTTTGGGTGTTGATTCTTGCTCAAGCTTCTTGTTTCTCTTGCTGTGGCCCTACCACTGGTAGTGCTGCAGTAGTGCTCTTCCTACCTGTCCTAAGCTCCCCCCCTACCAGGACCCTGCAACGTAGTTTCTTCGGCTTTGGATTCGTATTCGTAGAAAAGCCTCCCAAGAAACTGCTAGGTCGAACCCCCGCCCAGTAGCTATGATATAAGAGAATTTGGGGGCTTCCAAAATGATGGGTGCGCTTTGGGGGTGCCTACAATAAGGATTATAGTATTTTGGGGGTCTTGAGGTCCCTCTATGTATGGAAACTCCCATATATCGGGATACTTTTTCTATTATCTCTATCCCTTGTGCTCTCTATTGGTTGGTGGGGTCTACCGCAAAGTAATCCTCTGCGGCAAGCCAGGGGGACAGCGCAAAGGAGGTACAGCGGGCGGCCTTTGTCTACTTTCGTCTGGGACACCTCCCCCAGCATTCAACTAAGAGCCCCTGCTTCGTCAACCTTGCTTTAAGGTTCGTGGGAAATTTCCTTGGTAACCTATTTTTGCTTTAACGGAGGACGTTTGATGGCCTAGGTTGGCAAACGCCTCACGGCCCTCCGACTACGTTCGTTAAAGGTTCCCTGCCTTCGATTCACATCATGGCTGCTCGCAGACATCGTCAAAGGCTGCCCAGCGTTCCCCCTGTGGACCGTTCTACTTGGTTTTGCCCTTAAATACATGCGAAGCTCCGAATCCTATCCTAAGCCCAAGCTACCCTCACTGGCTCTTTAGGGAGGAGTGGCGGAGTTAATCCTTAATCCTTAATACCTTTATGGTTATATTCATCCCCTCCATGCCCCCTTAAGAAGCTAGGATGCTGGGACAAAGATTTAAGAAAAGGGTTTAGGGTTAAGGTCTTAGGGTTTCGAGCTCAAGGTTTCGGTTAGGCAAATCCCCCCTATAGCAATGGCTCCTTAATAGGGCCTTAATATACCTGCAAAAGTCCCTTGTGGTACCCATTGCTGGGTGGAGGAACTCGGTTGCTGTTAAGGAACTTAATCTAAGTTACTATATTGGGAAAACCCTCTTGTTTACGATATACCCATTATTAATGGTAACTTAATCTAAGTTCCTGAACCCTAAACCCTAAACCTTAAAACCCTAAACCCTAAAACCCTAAACTCTAAAACCCCTAAACCCTAAAACCTTAAAGCCTAAAGCTTCCTGAACAGCAACCCAGTTATAGGGTTTCCCGAGGCCTGGGACTCCTTCGGAGCGCCCGATGCTTCGGAAGATGCACCCCCCCAGGCCCAGCCAACCCAGGTGCAGCATGCGCGTGCTACTGTTTAGGGTTTCAGGGTTTCAGGGTTTTAGGGTTTTAGGGTTTTAGGCTGCTTAGGGGGGGGAGTGGGGGAGTGAACATAGGTTTAGCGCTTAGGCTGGCTGGGGGAGTGAATATGAGGCCTATTACAGGCATTATAAGGGTATATCTGGGAATTGCGTAGGGATCATTACGAGGATTCAATCCTCCTCTCCTCCCTTCAGTTTGTTTGATGAAGAAGTGTCTGGGATAGGGTTTAGGGTTCGGAGAAAGCGTTTCGGATGAGTACAGTAGAAGCTTAGCCTGTCTTGGTGTGGAAGTTTCTGGGTTTCTGTAGGATTCTGGAGCTGAATTGGCTTGCTACAAGAGCTTGTGTCTGGGCTTC